TTTGTGGGCTTATCTGAAGAAGAGGACCGCCAAGAGGCATCCAAAGAATAAAACTGAGCTGAAAACCATTGTTTTGGAGGAATGGCGAAATATCCCAGTGGAATATGTCAGAAACTTGGTCCAATCGATGAATAGACGCTTGGGAGCAGTCATAGATGCCAACGGTGGCCAAAAAAAGTATTAGTTTTAACTAAAAAGTAGTTAAAACATTATAATGAATTAATTGTTTTAGTTGTGTAAACACTTTCTTGTCAGCTGATTTTTGTTACTTCTTTTGTTTTTTGTTATTTTCTTTTGTTAATGGAAACATATTGTAATTTTTTTTACTTACTAATATAGTTTATAGTCTAATATACCTACTTTCATTTAAAAAAAATTGAATATGCATATTCTTACTGCTTTTATTTCGCTTCAAAGTAAAAAATTCAAATTTTTTCCCTGTGTGTAAACACTTTCTTGCCAAACTGTATATACAAAATTTGAGGTCTCTGGCATCAAATATAGCATGATTTCTGGTATATCGGAAAATGCATTTTCCGATTTGTCACGCCCCTAGTGGGCGGATTGGGGAAAATTTTAACACTTTATAAATCGGAGATATACACGAGTATGTGTTCCAAATTTCAAGTCTTTAGCTTCAATAGCGCCGAAATAGATTGCGTTCATACGGACAGACAGACAGACGGACGGACGGACAGCAAGACGGACATTGCACAAAACCAATATACTAATTCACTTTCGTGAATGAGTATAAAAAAAACACCAATTGCGCGCTCTGGATTCGAACCCGAGAGCGTCACGCCGCTACTCACAACGCCACCTCACCTTTCGAAGCTGCGTTTGCAAAACTGAAATAGATTCACTGCTACAGCGCCATCTAGCAAAACTAAACCAAACTAATTGCTGATGTGATTCTAAGAATGTGCTAGCTGCTGCACGGGCACGTTTGTTAATTGGCCAAACATTGTATTATTTTTTAACGTCGATTGACTTAACGGAATTTGATGAGACTTTCAGCATATGATCTACATATTCTATTGAATATTTGACAAATTTAAAAAATTAAGATTCAGTCACAATTAGCTGTATTGGCATCTGACTTGAACTTGAATGTTTTTAATCGATAAAAACATAACGGGATGATCTATCGAATTTCAAAGGTAAGCTCAACATACGCGCTGTATATACGGTCATTAAAAAATATAATTTATATTTAAAAAAAATTTATAATTACAATATTCCACACGCAGCAAGAATAAGAAGAATAAAGGCTTATACATGTAAAACGGGAACGTAACGGACGATTGACGAAAATATACTCTTTATTCGCATCAGTGCTTTCAAACCCTTCCCACAAATAATCATTAAAACGCTAACACTTTGCAAAAGCATGGCAAACCCTTTCAAGATTTCGATATTCACACTATTAATGATAAAAATCTAAAAGAAGAGCTATCAAGAGTTCGGTATTACCTTCACTGTTAGTAATATTTCGGTATTACCGCCGCTCTTCCTCCATAACGTTAGTATTATTATTCATGCCTTACACAACAACCATGCACAATAACAAGTTCCCGCTGTTGTCCGTTCAATCGCTAGAAAGCTACAGTGCTTATCATAATTACAGCCCACCCAGCAACTTAAACTTTGAGCCTGTTTTAACAACATATGTATTTAAGGGTTTTCAAAAATAAATTTTACAGCACTTTGTAGACTGGAGCATGTTTAGTAGATTTTATTGAAATTTTTGTTCAATTTATGGAAAACTAAAAGAGAAAGAACCGTTAAATTTTGCTCCGTGCTAGCATTTTTGCTTGCATTTTTGTGTATCATAATTATAGTCCACGGTCGCAAATTTGAGTTTATTAAGTGCGGAACAGACTTTTGGCTTTACAGACATTGTAATTAAGTAAATTTAGATAGTTTTTAAGAGATGTCGCTTGGAAAACAATTATCTTATGAAAAGGGCCATATTTGCTCACTTTTCGAGTCAGGAGAGTCTATTTGGAGTGTTTTACGAATTTTGAGAAAAAGTCAAAGTGTAATTAAAATTTTTTTGGATAACCCCTAAGAATAAGGATCAAAAAGACGTACTGGGTGAAAACCGTTACTAATTGCGCACGATAAACGCAAAATTATTAAGAAAGCTAGCAATAGCTCAACCGCTTGTACAGCTTTGGCCTCACATGTGGGCGAATCTATGTCAGCGATGACTGTTTGGCGAGTACTTAAGAGCTCAGGAATCATAAATACGTCTAAACTGACCAAAGCATCCATGTTGCTAAATCGCCACAAGGTTGCTCGACTTGATTTTGCCGAAAGACATACTGCGACCGATCTGACATACGCGCGTTTGAATCATCGTCTTTTGGCTTACAGTATATTTATAAATTTTTACCCAACAGGTCATATTTTCTGATGGGAAGAAGTTTAACCTGGATAATCCTGATGGGTTTGATACTTATTAGCATGATTTGAGGAAGGATCCTATGTTTTTTTCAAGGACAGACTTTGAAGGTGGCTCCGTCATGATTTGTGGTACATTTTTTATACCCTGAACCCATTGAAAATGGGAAATCAGGGTATAATGGTTTTGTGAAAAGTATGTAACAGGCAGAAGGAATCATCACAGACCCCATAAAGTATCTATATTCTTGATCAGGACGACGAGCTGAGTCGATATAGCCCTGTCCGTCTGTCCGTCCGTCCGTCCGTATGAGCAAAAGGATCTCAGAAGATATAAGAGCTAGAGAGCTGAAATTTGGCATGCATACTCGTGAGTACCATACACAGTACGAGTTTGCTTTGCTATTGAACCCATTGAAAATGGGAAATCAGGGTATAATGGTTTTGTTAAAAGTATGTAACAGGCAGAAGGAGGCGTGGCAGACCCCACAAAGTATATATTCTTGATCAGGGTGACGAGCTGAGTTTATTTGGCCCTGTCCGTCTGTCTGTCCGTCCGTCCGTCCGTCCGTCCGTATGTATGAACGCGTCGATCTCAGAAGATATAAGAGCTAGAGACTTGAAATTTTTTTTCTAGGTCCGTGTATATCACATGCATATCAAGTTTTTCTCTAAATATCGATATTTTATTATCGATCAAAAACCTTATCGAAAGCTATTTATTTAATTATATCTCCCACACCTTTAGAGCTAGAGCTTGCAAATTTTAAATGTAGACTTATATGTATTTAACATAATTTCGATTTTTGTTGTAATTTACCCCCCACTCTTATATCCACCCCCTCACCCTCACCTTTGTAAAAAGCGTATTTCAAGTACTACAGACTTGTGCTTTTTAATGTACATACATTCACCACATGATTACGCCCTGAAAGTTTCATTAAGATTGTACGTCTAGAAATTAAATTATTCAACAAATAAATTCTTATAATGTTGGCCACACTGCAGCGCACCCCAAGCGCAGTCGCTGCTTACTGCGCAGTTAGCAGATCGCGTTCTAATACGTTCGTTTGTATGTATGTGTGCCGAAACGAAGTGCAGAGCGATTAGAATATAAGATTAGAGGGTTCAGGGTATCTCCTAGTCGAGCAGTCTCGACTAGAGTCTTCTTACTTGTTTTAAATGCATAACTCTTATTTGCGGTCCCTGGAAAAAATGTTTTGCCATTCATAATTGAAATACTGGACTACTCATTTTTGAAGATTTTGAGGAAATATGCCATTTGGGAAAAATTTTCAGCCTATTCGTTTAAGTGGATTAAAAGTGGGCTATAATTATGATAAGCACTGTATTACTCGGCCGACAGTCTGCAGCCCAGTTCCTTTTCTGCCTTGTTCTGTCATTTCTCTTGATTATCGAATTCACTGAAACCCTATAATCAACAACAATCGGAACTATATTCAGCAACAGTATAGCTGTTGTTCTTCCTCTGTTTCCCTCTCTTGGTGAAAATGCATCTTTTAAACGTCACGAAGATACTAACTCACTCGAATAGTAGGAGCTGTTAGTTTATATCTAATACCATGGCAACAGGCAAGCACATTTCACATATTTATCCTATCAGTAATCTAGGTTTTTGCTTTATCATTTAATTTACTTTTTTCTTGATACCCTGAATCCCCTGAAATGAGATATAAGGCTATAATTGTTTTGTTAATGTATGTCACTGGCAGAAGCACGCGTGGCACAAAGTCTATTCTTGATTAGTGCAACGAGCTGAACCCATTAAAAAAAGAATATTATATACAAATCCTATGAGAGTTACCTACAGCAATAGAATTTATTTTTATTTTTATTTTTTTTTTTTCTTTTGAAAATATTTCGCATTTATTAATAATTTAAAATTCGCTTAGCATAATTTCTTAGTTTTCTAAATTTTTTGATTTAAAAAAAAAATTGACACACACACATGTTTTATCTAATTTCCTCACGTACATTTTATGCTATTAATGCTAATAATAATAATAATAATCATAGTTGAATAACAGGCAAAAATATGCTCCACATGACAGCGCCTAGAAAAAAAATCGATATGAGTCAATCAACCACACCGCTTGGATTTGATTAGTTGATCTGCATATCGTACACATTGCGTATTAAAAACCTATGATAACTTTTGCACCTGTGTTTATTCACCTTCGACCCATTGTTAATCCACAGCCCGCTTCTTATTGAGTTAAATTCTATGACATACGTAATTAAAATATCTCATCCAAAAACTTTCGTTTTATATGCAAAAGCAGTTAAGTTATACACACATTCACACACACACGCATCTACACATTGTTACTGTAGACGCATTTTAAAGACAGTAACTGGCTTATAATTAGGGGACTGCACAGCTAAATTATTTGTATACTACCTCTAAATGGAACTGTAGTTAGGAACACAGCAGTGTATTATTGTGTATGGCTGTTGATGTGTGTGTAACAGGGTGTTTACATATATATATATATATATATATATATATATATATATATATATATATATATATAACTAGAAAATACAGCGGGTTTCAAAAATATACTAATTGGTAAGTTGAATTGGCCAGGTTTTATTAGAGTTACGACTATCAGAGATTATAATTTAAGATTCAAGTTCCTCATCTACTTTAAGACACAGCACAACAATTAATAGTTATTTAAGTACACTTTCAGTTTCTCAATGGTTCTGTTTCGATTTATAATCTAAAATCAGCACTCGCACACATACACACATAAATTAAGATAGAGTGAGTGAGGGAGAAAGAGAGCTGTCTATTGGGACTTGCATGAATCTTATGCTAAATGCAGCCCAGTTTATGGGAGTTTGGGACTTTTCACAATATTTTTTGTCTTTTTGTTTTTGAGAACTTTACTAAACTGAATGTTATATATTCTTTGCATTTAGTATGTTTGAGACTAAGCTAAAATGTAATAAAAATAAAAAAAAAAAATAAATAAAAAATACTTTTAGCAGGAAAATATGAGAAATACTCTATGTATATGCCAAATACTCTAGCACTTGTTATAATAAATCTTTAAAAGGACAGAAAATCACTTTGATAGCTTACATTGAATGTTGGGTAGTTTGCTTGTTTTTTTGGTTTTTTTTTTTTTTTAATAAATTAAATAATATAAAACAGACAGACACACACACTCATGCACATGCATACAGAAACATACACACGTTTGTAAATTATATATAGTCGCTAAGCTTAAACATTTGTAGATTTAATTAATTGTTTTTTGATTCTCTTTGTGTTGTTATACTCATTTCACTTTCGTGAATGAGTATATTGGTTTTGTTTTTTGCTTAAAATCGTTAAGTTCGCCTAATTTTTGGTGTTTGATTTGTTGTTGTGGTCGCTGCACTCGTGATCGTTGTTCAGCTTTAAAGATTGATGGTGTCCAGGTCTTGGCAGGGCGCACGCGGACTCAGCTCGTCGGTGCTGGCGCTGCCCTGATACCTTTCGCCGCTGGCGCGTCCGTCGTGCCTTATGTCTGCCATCGACGAGTGGATCTGATTATTTTGATTGTGCCGCAGATTCGTGTTGTTGTTGTCGTTGGTCTTGGTGCCACCGCTGTTGTTCGTGTGGTTTTGCTGCTTATTGTTCATGCCATCCACTGAGGCGGCTACGCTGTTGTGCAGCGTCTGCGATTTCTTGGTGCCCAGGCCCAGCGGAAAGGCGAAATCCTGCGGCATCTTGTGCATTATCTTGCCCGACGTAATCAGTCGACCAAAGCCCTCCTGCAAAAAACATATATATGAAATATATGGAATACGCAAAAATGAGATCAAGTCTCATCTCCACTAACCTGATGCGCAAATGCGTAGCCCGACCGCACGGACCGGCGTCCACGTCGCGAGGAGGGAGTGCGGCGCACATCGCTGGAGACGCGCGAGTGCACCTTCTTCAGGGACTTTTGGCGAATCTGTAAAGCAAATTTGGGTTAAGCGAATCAATAAAAACGCTTCTTCTGGCAGCTGCTCACCTTGTCGGAGAGACTGGGGTGGACGTCCAGCAAGTAGAACTTGTAGGCGAGCACCGGCGCCATCAGCATAACGACTGTGATTAGCATGGTCATCCAAAAGGTTAGATCCTTAATGGCCTGCGTCAAGGATCCCACATATGGCCCGCCAATTACGTAGTTGTAGAAGTAGTCCAGCACGAAATACCAGATGAGGCTGCCCCATATGGTTATGTGATTGACTATAGTCCAGTACGAGGTATAGAGCGCAATCTGGTAAATGGACAATGGAAATAGAACCTTTGTAAACTGATACCACGCACCAAGTCGGGTGTGCTCACCTGCGCCGTATTGTCCACAATCAGTATAGTTGCCACGACAGCGCCGAGTGTCATGTGATCGCTCAGTATGTACCCATTGTGGGAGACGCCGTCCTTGTAAACGCCATACGGTATGAGGAACAGGATGAGCGACGTGAAGGCGCCGTGCAGCACGCTGTAGATGAACTCACGTATGTTGAACAGCTCACTCTTCAGGCCCGGCGTATATAGACGTGGGTACTCCACGCTATTTTTATCCGACACGTCCTGCTCAAAGACGCCCAGTGCCAGGACTGGCAGTGATGTATAAAACAGATTGTACACCGATATGAACATGGGATCGAACACGGTCTGAGAGCATTAAAGATATTATTATTATAAATGTTATATGGGAACATACGTTAAATACATATAGATGTGTCGTGAAAATGAATTGAATAATGTTAACAATTATCAAATCGCATTCATCTCTCGCAGTCGAGACCACATCCAGAATTTCTAGAACGTAAGGCTGATGTCAGAGTGGCCGCGATAAGCGATGCGATAATGTTGAGCGACAAAAGCGAGCGAGAAAACTCTACATGCAGATATACATGTAATCGCTTAACACGTGTCAGAGTGCAAGCGAAGCGAGAAGAGAGCCAAAACGACAAAAAAAAGCAAGTTGCGAGAAAGCGATTCTGAATCGCTGGACATTCGAGTATAGATATTCGTGTATATAGATGGACATTCGTGAATAGATAAAAAGTTTGTCAGGACACAGTCTTAAATTTGGATATAAGCAATGAGTTTTCAAACGGTTTTCATTTATTGGATGGATCCTGTTGCTTTTTTTCATGAAAACATTGCGACTGAGAGTAAAATTTTAACACTCGTAATGACTACAATTTGAATACTCGCAATGTTTCTCTCTTTATGGATAGCTTTCACTCTGTCATGTCATCGCTTTGCAGATCGCTGCGATAATTATCGCTTAAGCATCTCATCGCTTATCGCGGCTACTCTGACATCAACCTAATAATTTTCCAGTATCTAGTGTGCAACAAAAAAAGCGCGCCTGGGGAGTCACCTGAGCACTGAAGCCACAGAAAAGGGAATACCAGCAGTGGCACAGCGTAAATGCAAAGTTCTTGTAGAAAAAGTAGCGTAGAAATTTGCACATGCGATAGTAGGACCAACGTCCGTGCACCAGCAGCAGACGCTCCAGGTGGCAGAACTGGGCAATGGCATAGTCGCTGGAGAGGACCGCTTGGAGGCCCTCCTGGCCCGAGATGCCCACGCCAATGTGTGCAGCTGGAGAGTAGAAGACAATGTTTAAATAACTAGGTATGTGAGTATGTGTATGGGTGTGGACTCACCCTTGATCATGGAGACATCGTTGGCACCGTCGCCAATGGCCAGGGTGACAGCATTTTTGGCACGCTTAATGAGTTCGACAACCAGCGCCTTCTGCAGCGGCGTCACTCGGCAACAAATTACCGCCTTGCACTGCGACGCAATGTCCAGGAATCTGTGTGAAAGAGTTGAGAGAGTGAGCAAAGTATAATCTAGGTAACTTCAAAAGGAGCCACATGTGGAACTGCAGAGCTCGCCCAGGTCAAAAAGAAGATAGTAAGTCACAGGATAAATAAAGGAAAACGATATTTAGAAGAAGAATTCAATTGAACGATCAATGTATACAGTGTATTACTAAAACTGAAATAGTTAGGTATGGTAAGTACATACATACATATATCTTTCAGAATGTCTATATCTATTAGCATACTCTTATAAAAACCCGCTTTCGAAAGCAGATTGAAACAGATCTTACATCTGATCTGATTATATGTGCTGAATTCTAGTAGATATTTATCAAATTTAATCCACTATAATGAATGCTGTTAATAAGTGCAGACATTTCTATACCAGAATACACTGAATCGCATTATCAAATACAACTGAAAGTTCATCCTGAAGATGAAGTAACGCAGGAGTGTGCTGACTGTGTGGTCTGCATGCGCGTACACCAGACGCTAAAATTACTATTTTTACTTACTTGCTCTCCAGTTCCGGCGACAAACAATGAACTAGCGAATGACCGTTGACCACAAGAGCGAAGCCAGTATTCTCGTCCACAATTACCGAGGGTGCAGTGCGCCTTCCATCCGAGTTCTTCTCAGGATCTCCAAAGATATCATTGCACTCGGCGCTGTTCGTGAGTGTCAGTTTTAGAGAGTGAGATAAATACGGCGTAGATTAGTGAAAAGTTTCAAACGAATCGTTGCGTGGTGTTTGCAAGTGTGTAATGTAAGTAGTATGAATTGTATGGGATGAATTACAAAAATTGGTAAACAAGAACAACAGTCAACAATAAATGTGGAAAGCAGTTAAGGAAGTTACAGGGTTAGACAGAGAGGGAGAGCAAGTCAAGATATTCGATATATGATATTCGACGATATTTAATATACAATATACGATGTACGACATAGAATACATGGTATACGAATCACAATATACGAATAAGATGCATGGTATAAGACATACGATATACTAAATACGATGATTGATTCACATATATTTATATATACCATATACAATATAGGATGTACGGTATACGTTTTACGATATTCAATAAATTTATTTATAGACACATAATTGTATAGCTCTAGACTTGATATTAAGTTAAATGATATTAGATGTGAGCAAAACTACAACAACAAAAACAACGAGTAAACTAAGGATCGATATTTGAATTCGATTTTCAGCATGAGAAATGTAAGTTTTAATTTGGCCTAAACTTTGAATTTGTTTTGGACTTAAGTTTAGTTTATGTTTTAATACGACACTTGCAAGTTTCCTTCATTTCTTGTACGTAATTTAAATATGATTAAGATGACAAAACTGACAGAACTCAAACAATGCACATTAAATTTTGATTATATTCATGAAGATAACAGAAAACAGTTTGTATTATAAAAAATTGTGTTCTTTTGTTTTTGTTTACTTGACGGGCGGAACAAGTACCAATAGAGGGTAACATCCTTGGGTTTACTAGTAAAAGATACATTAAGTAATAATTGTTTTGATCTATTTTGGCTTTTCGTCATTTTTCGCATTTTGATCTTTCTACCAATCAAACGACACGATATAATAATAAACTAAAACCTATAAAATAATTACTTTAAAGGTAGATCTGCTAATAAGAGAGAGAGATAGAGACAGAGAGAGAAAGAGAGACAAAGAGAAAGAGAAAGAAAGAAAGAGAAGTCTAGAGACAACCGAATGGTACGTGAAAAACAGAAAAATAGAAAAATCAGATATTGTTGTTTACAAACAAAACTAGTTAATAAAACCTTAAGGAAATAAATAAATTTAAAAAAGTATATATAGAGAGATATAGAGAGGTAGATACATAGATACACTGATAGAGTTAGCAGTAAATACAGGGTGACTTTCTAGCTGCGCTTTGGTGTCATATCTGGTTTAGCTTCACTGCATCTAGAATCTTTATTAATTATTTTGGAGTTTCTTCTATTGTTTTTTTTTTTTTTTAATTTTAATTTCTTTGCTTGAATTGAGAATTTGGAAATTTGCTTTTGGAGTGCCCTCTACCTGTCCGGTCCGCCCTTATTATCCTTAATTTTGGCATCCCACCTAAAGGTAACCACCGATATGGCTGGCGGCGGTGGCATGGTCGAGCCGTTGGCATCCTGCATAAATGCTGATGTCTGCGTCATGGCAACGCTCATCGGATCCATGCTGCTGTCGCTATTGAAGTGATTCATTGCCTCGGTACCTGCACGAAATAAGCTCATGCTAGAGTGGATTTATTTACTTTAAATTGGGGCATTTACCGCCTGGCCGGAAGCGATCAAATATTTTGATGGACTCCTTGAACTGGCGCAGCTGCTTCTCCACCTCCTCGACAGAGTTCCCGTCCACAATAAAGACGTCCACGAGCTCGTCAGTGAGCAGCTGGCAGGAGTAGCCAATGTTGATAGCCGTCTCTACGAAGAAGATGGAAGTGTTTAAACGCATTGGTCAATTGGCTAAGAGTTAATATTAAATGTACCTTGCTTGTCGCCAGTGAGCACCCAGATCTTGATGCCCGCATTCTGTAGATTCGCTATGGACTTGGGCACGCCATCCTGCAGCTTGTCCTCGATGGCCGTCACTCCCAGCAGCTGCATGCCGCTCTCCACCTCCTCGTAAACGGCATTCAGTTTCGACTCGCGCGAGTCCATAGACAGCGCCGCCTCCTGCTGTCGCGATCGCCAGTCGTTGTAGTACTGTTCTGACAGGCGGCGTTCTGCCAGCACCAGAGTGCGTAGGCCCTCTCCGGCGAATTTCTGTTAGAGGTCTATGTTGAACGATATTCAATTTACGACAATGAGTACTCACATTCAGATGATCTTGAGTGCGTGCCTTAAGATCCTCCTGCCCGCTATGCAAGCGGTCGTATATCACGTTGTCAGCGCCCTTGCAATAGAGCACCACAGAGTTGCCACGTCGCAGGATGACGGACATGCGCTTGCGCACATTGTTAAAGTCGAGTATGTGCAGCAGTTCGTACTCCTGCAAGTATTCGGTATACGATATTCGGTACGAGGAGTTACTCAGTACACCACTTACCTCTATGCGACCCATTACTTCGATGGTAATACTGTTCGGTGTGCGCGTGCGGAACACAAAGCCAAAGTTGCGAGCGGCAGAGACGAGGGCCGCCTCGTCGGGACTTTGCGCTTGGTACTCCAGGCGACCGTCAACGGTCTCCGCCATGACCGTGTGACACAGGGCGAGCAGTCGGAAAAAGTTCTGCGAGTGCTCTTCGTCGGACCGGACCGCGTCCAGCAATGTGCGATCGTACCAGCGAAAGTCGACTTCGTGATGCGGATTGGCCGAAAAGTCAACCGGTTCGAGCATCTAAAAGTGGATCGAATAGGATTATTTTCGACTAGCTCCATATGAACATTGAACTTTGAGCGTTTCATGTGACTTGTTAGCGTATTTCAGTAAGATAAATGTTTATACTTGTAAGCAGTTAATCTCGGTAGAAAGCAGAGGCAAGCACCAAATTCAAATTAGAATACGTTAAAGAGATTTACGATAGCTTAGCTGGGAATTAGATGGCGTGGTTAGTTTCGATAAGGATATTATATAATACACATAAATATGGCTTCAACATTTGGTCAACTTCAAATGCGATTTGCGAATTACGATACTCAATAATGCTATCAAGCATTTTGAAAATACACTGCTAGAATATATCCAGCGGTAATAAACGACACAATACGCGATACGACATTCGGCATGCAGTAAATGCTATTTCACATACGATACTCATCGAATGCAAACATTGAAAATCCATTATACGATATTCGAGTTAATTGATACCTTACACGATATGGGGTCAAGCTAGGATATTGGTAGGTCACTACGGATAAGAAGCTTTAATTACTTAGCACTGGGGTTAATCAGCTAAAGCAGTTATATATCGATATATATGTGTGTGTATTTATGGTTGTATATATGTATATTCGTATAACCAATTAAGCACAGAAATATGTATATAAAACTTATAGCCTATACAATCAATACAACTGGATCAAGCTGAATACGGGGTCTTATCACACACACTTTCTCACACAAACACGCACTCTCTCTCACACACACACACTCACAGTTGGGGTTACACTGAAAGCCAACATATCGTATTATACATTTATGCATATAATTCTAGACAGGATTTGGTTTGCGAACAAGTGGACAACATGCATACGTGCACTTTTTGGTGGGACGAACTCCAATTAGTGGCAAAGCGGTGGGTGCTTAGATAACGGTGGTGTGCGTTAGTTGTGGTGGTGGTGGTGGTGGTGCTGCTGCTGCTGTTGTTGTTGTTGGTGTTGGTGTTGGTGTTGGTGTTGGTGCTGCTGTTGCTGTTGCAGTTGCTGTTTCTGCGGCTGCTGTTGTTTCTCTCGCTATTTCTATGGCTGTGGTGGTGCGGTCGAAATGGAGCGCAGCAACCGCTGTCGCTGTCAATGGCTGATGTCTCGCATTCGGTGGCGGATGATGCAGATGGCGTTAAATTGAATTTGACCAGCTTGCGGTTAGTTTGCTGTTCGTGTTGTTGTTTCTGTTGTTGCTGTTGCTGTTGCTGTTGGTGGTGGTGCTCGTGTTCTGGTTGATTGTCATGCAAGATTATTACTTTGTCGCCACTGACGCTGCCACTGGCGCAGCTCGTGGAGAGCCCCCCGGAAAGCTGACGGCGCATGCGCTGCCCACTGCGCGTGAAGCAGGCACCCAAGCCGCTGCTGGCACTGGGACTGGCGCTGGGGCTGCGACTGCCGGGATCTTCCTTGCTCCCGCCGGGATCGTCCACGTCGTCCTCGTTGGCCACACTTCGGCTGGGCGACAGGTAGTGCACCTGCTTGCGTGCCAGCGGATTCTCCATTGTGCTGATCGCCGGCGTCGCCTGTTCGCTGGCTATACGGCCACACAACTCCTCCGGACTGTGAGCCAGCTGGGTGCCGCCGTCTTGGGTGACTAGCAAGGCGCTCTTCTTCGCGTGCACCTCGGCTGTGTGCACTAATATGGTGGGCGGGGCTGTAGGCGTGGCTGCCGTCGATGCGCTGCTGCTGCTGCGCTTGTTGACGCCGCTGCTGCTTTTGCTGTTGCTGCTGCTTTTGCTGCTTTTACTGTTGTTGCTGTTGCAAGTTTGGAAAAGTGTTTGCTGCTATAACGAGTAATGTGAGTTGATGGCTTGCTGGGCACACAATTAAATAGAAAGACACACAATATCTACGAGTTATGGACTACAGTGCTTCAGCTTTCTTGCCATTGCAAATTGTCGCAGTCGCAGCGACCTCTGCTGCCCCAGTCAATGCAAGCAGTTATCATGCACTATTCGTGCTTAGTTCAACGATTTTCGATTCGCAGAGCATTTTCAAATGATTCAACTCTCTAACAGGCTTTTTGATTTAAACTGAATCGGCTATAAGGAGCAACTCTTCAATATATGTTGTTAAGTTTATTCCCATAATAATTTACTGTTAAATTTTTACTAGCTCAAATTTGGTATCGAAAAGATCTCATTCGAAATTGTTAAATTAAAAAAGAAACTAGATGTAAACTCTCTATTCAAATTGGATGGTGTAACATATATACATATATCTAGAGTATAACACTTGCATAGCCGCTTTTTCGTGAATGACAGTTATGAACATAATTTGGACAGTTGTGTAACAGTTATACAGCTCATCTGTAATATAACATGTGCTAGACAGTCATATATAGCTGACGTTAATCATAATGTCTCTAACACTTGCAATCTACGTGGTCTATATATGTACGTTATTTTCATCATCTGCATAGTACGAAAAACCTCTCAAGTCTTCTACTTCGCGTAAGCTTTGCACTTGCTGACTAGTGTTTGCTCTTAAGGCTACAGGTGAAAGGCAGCAACTGTGCACCGTCTCTTGGCTGGGGCGCTTGCACAGTGCACACACACACACAGACATACAAGATGCACACACAGATAGGGGACCAGCACCCAATTAAGCTTCGCTCCTCACACACAGAGTCACCCAATGCCCCATGGCCGGACAGAGGATTGTATTGTTAGAGTATTGTGTATAAGTGGTTAAAATCAGAATTGGGAAAAAGGAAAACTAAATGGGAGGAGGGGGAACTCACCTCAGTTATTTCAATAAGCTCGCCGGTGCGCAGGTCAATGACATCCCCATAGGTTCGCCCGTTAATGCTGCACTTGTTAAAGGTCATTATGTTCTGGGTCAGGGTGCCCGTCTTGTCCGAGAAGATGTACTGTATCTGGCCCAGCTCCTCGTTGAGCGTGGTGGTGCGTGCTTTGGCATATGTTTGAGTACGTGCATAATACATCTCCTCGTCCCAATTGATGAGGAACGACTGAGCAAAGCGTATGACCTGCACAGGCAAAAATTCAAAATATCATATAACACACATAGGTAAGCAAAGTATGTACATATATGTATATATAGAAAGTAGCCCAAGGCTGGGATCTAAGTCTCAAACTACATTTTGAGAAGGCATAAAAACTCGCTTGTTTCTGGCAAAACCATATTAGAACATCCTTTCAGAACCCTGAAGCTCATATTTTTCGTCCAATTACATATTCCTTAAAGTGATACCAAGGAATTATTTACGAGTTGTTTCCAAATGAGCTTAGAATCAAACCGAATACAAAAGGAAAGGGTTCTACACCCATGTCCCTAGTAATGAATACAATTTAAATTATATGAAATAGAAAATTAAGAACTTTCTAACTAACAGTTATTCAACGTAGATGCCTTCAAGATATTTATGTATTGCTTATAGCTAAAATTTAGGCACTGACCTCTACTGAAACATAGAGTGAAATTGGCACAACTGTGTTTAAGACTATGGCGTACGAGAAGAAAACGAGCAGCCCAATGACCGTGGCACCGGAGGCGACCATCTCCTGTGGTATAATGTGTTCCCAGGGCAGATATAGCTGGAAATGTTGACCGATCAGGCCCTCCCAGATGGCGCAGCCCAGCGCAAACAGCGCACAAATCGAGACCAGAAAGAGCACAATCTGCAGGAAAAGACGAGAAGATGTGATTCGACGATAGTTTGCTTGGATATGTATGCCGTGGCTGACCCCAATGATGATGAAGTTGAGCAGGCGATCAACTCCAGTGCTCTTGAACTGCGTCTTGCCCGAGTTCTGCATCAGCTTGGTGTCGACGCCGGCAAAGACCACGACACCGTAGCACCACTGCGTGTTGCGCAGAACACAGCCACGCAGCAGAATCTTGTCGTTGTCGAGAGCGAAGCGCTGATTCTTCCACATGAGGGTTCCCTCGAACTTGTTCAGCAGATTATTGGGTCGCTCGCAGATGATCTCGCCGTTGAAGTTCCACAGCAGATCGTGCTGCTCGCCCAGCTCCGTTGTCTCGATCAAGCATTGCTTAGCCTTCAGATTCGTCTCCCCATCCAGTTCGGCCGTTTCAATGAAGCACAGTCCATTTGGCTCCGATGTCGTCAACAGCATTATATCGGCGGCCACAAACTGATTGTTGTCGAGGCGAATCACATCGCCCACCTGGACGTCTGACCACTTGGCCTCTACCAGCTTGCCATTGCGCAGGGTCTTCGACTTGCGGTTATTCACCTGCGAGTCGGACAGATGTCGTTGCTGTCGGGACAAGGAATGGATACCTTTAGTTCCATATACCTACATACATATATATATTTCACATATATACTTACGATATCGTCGTAGGCATCCTTCACGGCAGTCAGCGTCAGCACTCCGATCAAGGGAATCGCTGTCGTCACCGGAGTCAGCGAGGATATCGCAGGTATCAGCTGGAGCACCAGCAAGCACAGGAAATAAAAGTTCGCCAATCGCTGGAACTGTTCCAGCAGATTGAACGGCAGAAACGTCAACAGGGTATACTTCGATGTCTTGATGTAGTTGTTCTATGTGCGGGAAAGGAATAAAACACATCGATTTGATAGTTTTCCATCGGACAATCAGATAAATCGATTCAATTCAGCTGTAAGGTCGAAAAGATTCTGAAATGAACTTACGTGATACTTAAACTGAGAGTTAAAATCTTTGTCGTTAGCGCGGATTCTGCGTTCATTATCTGTAAGAGAAAGAAGCGGAGGAGCTTAGATTAGCTGAGAAATTCGCCGGGATAATAAAGATTGGGCTAAGTTCTATTAGCTACAACCCCGTTCCCATTTACCCGAGAAGTAGTACGAGCTGCGGCGACGTCGCATTTGCGACAGACGCCGCAGATTACGAGCCGACGCCGAAGCCGAGAGCTGAGGTTGCGAGCCGAGATCTCCGCTTTGGAGGCGACTGTGACGACGGCTGGGCAGGCTGTCGGGGGCACTGCGTCGCCAGCTGGCGAACCGTTGTAGCACGGAAAGACGCGGCTTGGACGGCGGCTGTTCCTTGTACTGCTGTTCCACATCGATGGCCGCCTTGGGTTCATCCCCAGCGTCCGCATTGGCCAAGCTGTAGAAGCTATCGGCCAGGTGGCTCGACGCAGTAGCTGACGATGGCACTGCCGGCTTGATGTGCGTGGCCGCGGGCGAGGCGATTGTCAGAGTTGAGTTGCCAATGTTCGTGATCTCCGGTTGGGCCAGGCGCACCTGTTGCTGTTCGAGATCATGCTCGTGCTCTGGCTCCACCGCCAGCTGCATTTGCTCCTCCTCACAGCGTAGCAGTCGTCGCCGTCGCGATTTACTGGCGAAGTTAAACCAGCGACTGCGACGCGTCGTTGCAGCCGTCGGCTGTGCGGCTGCAGCTGACCAATGCTCTATATCCGGTTCCTGTTGTTCCTGTTCCTGCTCCAGTTCTCGCTCCTGCTCCCGCTGTTGTTGTTGCTGTCTTATATCTGCACTCAGCACACCCAGTTCGAGTGTATCCGGTCTTTGGCGCGTACGTTGCCCCGCCTCGCTGCCTTTTCTAGTGCCGGGCATGACGGCGACTTTAAATAGCTAGCTGCCTCTTCAACTCCTCATCTCTCATACCGTCTCTTATCTTTATGCATGAATATATGTTCATATATATCAATTGTTATTCATATTCTTTCGGTTTACCATCATTGTCATCGTCGCCATTGTCGTAAAAGAAATGGTAGCGGGGTTAAGATACAGGGTAAAATAAGATAAAGACCCAAGACTCTCTTCTCTTCTCCTCTAATAATAGTAACAGCAATGTAACAAGGAGAGCAACAATGAGAACAACAAGAAAAACAGCTGTGCAGGCCGCGAATGTTTTTCATCAATTTATTGGACGATTGGTTCCACGCGGCGCATGAGTAATATATAAAGTATATACGCTTTTGCCTTTGATTTGGATTTTCGGATTTGTCTTTCGTGAGCTGTAAACAGCGGTGGCTATTTATCGCGCCCCGACGTACAGTGGGCACTTGCTACAACAGTAAGTGATAAACTTTTGATATTCCTCAAATACTTTGGATGAAGATATTAAGAACCTCCTTTCATTATTTTATGTCTTGTTAAAGTGAAAGATGCTGTTCCATAAAAACGTAACTTAATTGGCTTAATTCAACACTCAGAAAGTGACTGTATAAGGCGTGACTACTGTAGCTGCCGGCTGTACTATTCCAACAACAATAACAACAGGCAAAAGCCAGAAAACGGAAATCTGTTTAAAATATTTAAAATTCTTGTTAGAACAATATTTCGTGCTTGGCGAACAATGGGAGAACAAATTTGAAATTTGAATTAATTTCCAATATTTATTTATTTTCCTTCATTGCTGCTGTCGTTTTTGTTCTCTGATTACTATTGGCAAATACGATTCAAGGGTGTTAATTAGGTCTCATTGCGTTTTTGAAAGTGCAATTTGAGCATGAAAAGTGCAAAATGAGAACTAGGCCAAATGCTGTACATATCATTTGGTTACACGGTATGCTAGACAACATTGTAGTAGGCATTAAGACGTTGGCTTGATCTGGGATAACTCAAATATCTTCAATGTACATCACATCTTAGTAAAAGGTTTAACAAAAAGTTGTTGTTTTTTTACTCTTAAATACCTATATAATACTCCATGCGTATATTTATAGCAATAGATCTTACAGGGTATAAAATATGTGGGGTTACCTTTGCTACAATTGTGTTATTATTGTAATATTAATATTAATATATAGTTTTTGCCTCAATTAGTGAAATTTACGTAGGGTATATCAACGTCTCTTCAAAATGTGTGTAAAAGCACATAAAATATTATCGATAAAAATAAACCTGCAAAGGTTCACATGAATATGTCATTCAGAGTCTGCGTCGCTTTGTGGAGATGGAGAAGATGGCAACTGTGGAAGGTGCGCCAACTGTGGATGCCGGGAAATAGAGCAGTAGAGCAACAGGTAACAAGAGCCGTGGCAATGCGATGCAAATTGGCTTGACTACAGGTGCGTCTACTACCCAAAGTGGCTAGACGCAAGTGGAGGTGGGCTTTCGCAGTGTGATCATGAGCCGCATGGTTACTGCTGTTGCCAGTGTCCTTAACTGAACTCATTCGCTCTCTCTTACTCTGGCACCCAAGGGGAAGTTGGCCTGTGCGAAGAGCACGACCAGAAATCAAATGTAGTTGTTTGTGCTCTCTAATTTGACATTCATTTGATTCGTTGTCAATTGTTTGAAGACTGCTCCGAGAGAGCAAAAACGAGAGAGTAACAAAATGAGCAGCCGGCAAGGCGGCAACGGCACATAACTATTCACCTATTGTGCATGAGTGTGTGTGTGTGTGTGCGTGTGCGTGCCTGTGTGAGTGTCCACTCCTCCTTCCCATTTCACATGCATGAGTCACGCATACGAGTGTTGCTCCTTGCGCCCTTTGCTGTGCCCGCTTGCCGTTCGGCTGAGCAGGGCGTAAGCGTGCTTTTTGTTTTCTTTTTACATTACACTCTGTAGGTTGTCGCATGCGTCACCATGGCAAAAGCCCTGCCGTTGTGAGGCGGTGCTGCCCAGTTTACAAGAATTAACCCAAGTGCGAGTAAAATGCGAGAGAGCAGAGACAATGCCAAGCCAATAGCGAATCGATGGAGGCTCAATAATAATTATGCTGAGGCAGCAGCTAAATAAAATTAGCAAGCACTCGGCACAAAATGAGGTGGCGCGCTTCAGTGAGTCGGTGGGTGGGTTCAGGGGCGGGTCTCAGTGTTTCAGCGTTTCGGCGTTTCAGTGCTGGGTGCCAGGTGCCAAATGGCAGATGTCCGTGCATCATCCGCATCGGCAAGAGCGACAACGACGATGACGACGACGACGACGACGGCAACGGCGATGGGCAGAATGACCATAACAACAAGAGAAGACAACACTCGTTTGTTGTTGTCGCATTTTCGATATTTGCTATTTGCGTACATTTTTAGCACATTTCTTATTGCACTTGCACTTGTTTTTCCTCTTGTTGCTATTGTTGCTTTTGTTGTTGCTGCCGTTTCTGCTGTTGTTGCAACGTGTTTGACAAAACGTTTATTTATTTGTTGTTTTCCCGATTGAGCATTTGGCATTCGTACGCACTTATATCATATCATCATAAATTGGACAGCGTTTTGTGCAATTGAAAGCATTATTGGCGAGAAAGGCAACAAGAGCAACAATAACAAGAAGAACAACAACGACGACGACGACGACGACGGCAATCACAATGAGAAACGCGAAAATAAAAACGCGAAAAACGCGAGAAACGAGCGCTGACCAAACGGTAAACAGCAAACGGGCAACTGCCAAGAAGCGAACTGCGAAAACGTAACGACGCGAGCGACGACGACGACGACGCGGCATCGCCAGCGCCAGCGCTAGCGTCAGCAGCAGCGACGCGTCGCGACGCTGACGCAATGGCAACCAAGCAACCAAACTTACACCCAACAGCCCCACCAGCCTAGCAACGCCGCCAGAAGACTTGCGAGAACCAACACACAACGACGACGCTGGCGTCGACGTCGACGCTGGCGTTAACGCTGACGCTGACATCGACGCCATTGCCAGGACAACGGCGTGAATGGACGGTGGAAAATTAACTATAAATATATCGAAGATTTGCTACCCTTCTTTGGGCTTCCTATATAACGTAATAAGTATGAAAAGAGCAAGGTATTGTTATAATATTAATTACAATTTTTATTGGTACAATTTGACAATTCACTTATCGGATATTATGGTTGATCTTCACACGGAGCTGGGATAGAGATTTTTCTGGCAGTCCGGCCTCGCTAACATTTAGGAGTATATCAATATAAGGACAAAATAAAGAAGATAAATATCGAAAGCTCTTATGAACACCCCATTGGGTTTGCCAAAATAATTCACAAAATTTGGACAAGTTGAAAATACATTTTTTTTTAATTAAACGCTTAAAATTTAAAGCTCAAAAATATTAAACTGTATTTATAATTAATTTTTCCATTCGACATCCAAATTTATTATAGCTATTTAAAGCGAATCTTCCTAGCTTGATAGTCTAATGTTCTATGCAAACAATACGACAATGTTTCGGTAAGGGTATTAACAAGTCGTATTTATTACAGTGAAATTTGTCAAGCTTGTCAAGCGAAAAATGAGCAAAACGCTGAGCGCATATATTGGTCGCAGAGAGGGATATCAGGTAGGCAGGAAAAGAGCGCGAGTGAGTGTAAGCCACAGAGAGAGAGAGAGGGGGGAGAGAGAGTCAGAAGGTGAGTGATAGAGAGGGTGAACAAGAGAGGGGGAAGAGCAACTGAGGGCAAGAGAATGTGCTTATGAAAAGACAACATTTAGAAGTGAAAGGCCAAAAGAAAACTTAGTGCGACGCTCTTAGACGACCCCTTATATATGTGTGTGTGTGTGTGTGTGTGTGTGTGTGTGTGTGTGTGTATGTGCGAGTGGGAGAGTAAGAGAGAGCAAGACGAAGAGGGATCTGAGCAATGGGTGGGGAAGCAACATAAATTGCATAAACCTACATTCCGTTAGTATGTTGTTGTGTGTGTGCGTATATGTAGTATGCATGCATGTGTAATACAATTGCAAACGGGAATCGCCTTTTTTTCTTTGTTTACACATTGTTTTTGTAATTATAGCTCTCTTGGGCCAGCGACAGAATTTCAAATTGAAGGCAAATAACTACAAACACACACGCACCTACACAAACACACACACGTAGGCACACCTACTCAGGCTGCGCTCTGGAAGTCTACTTTCACTGTTTGTTCATCAATCATTTCAGCAATTTGCCTGCAAACACACACACACACATACACACTCACAAACAACATTTCTTTCTGTTTTGATTTGAGAATAATCGAAAGCTTATTGAAGGGCAAGAAGAAATGTGAAGCAATTGTGAGCTGAACTCTTAAGTTGAGTTGATTTGAATCGCATTGAGTTCTATTGTGTAGCATACAAATGCAGTAGGAGCTGCTGGGGCGCAACAGGTGCTCACAGATTGCGCATACGTTGCGTATGCCAGACCACGAAGTTCTCAAAGAAGAAGCTTTCTTCACTAATTTGATTTAATTTGATGATGTCATAAAATTGAGCACTCTCTTCCAATTCAAACGAACTACTGAACTTATTCAATGAACTACCTACACATGTAGCTCTATAGTTCACGAGCTGAACTGAACTTGTCAACGTATGTAGTTCATAATTTCAAAATGAATTTAAATCCAGAGTTCCAAAAATCCAATATCTGACTATAGTGTCAAAGCTTCACTCATAGAAATATTATTAATATATGCAAAAGACATAGACAATGGCCAAGAGATACGCGTATCCACATTCGTTAATGATGCTTTAATCCTCATATGTACATTAACCCAGCGGCAATCAACGCAATTAAATGACGTATAATTTGCGCACACAAATATCCATTACTTTAAGAGTTTGCCACGCGAGCAAAACTACTGGGAACAGTGCATTCCGAGAGAGGTCGACTAGGATATACCCTACACACAGGTATACATAGGCAAAACCCCGCACTAATAGAAATAGAGTGATAGAACGTATGTTTTAGATATGCGCTCTCAATGCAATTCGTCGAACGCAACTATGACATCAAAATATTTTATAAACGTAAAATCCTAACATCCGCTATAAGAAATTCACTTTCGTTTTCGTTTCATGAGAAATTAAAAGGTATAACAAATCTGTTATATTCATGATGAAAAAAGTAGAAACATTTATTATACTTCATCATTTGTGTTGTATATATGTATGTATACTAAATTTGGATGACATAGAATACTCCTTCACATCCCATCAGCAATTTAGTAGCTAAGTTTAGCTCTTTACCACGCCTCTACTGGGCGTAGACACCTCATTTTTGGTCAGTTCTTAGAACAAGCTGACGGAAACTTAACTGCAAAATTTCTATGCTTACGCTCTAAAAATGTGATAATTACAGGGTATATCCGTGATAGATTTTGATCTTTTGATCTCTATATTCTTCAGCTAATATGATTTCTGACATATCGGAAAATGCATTTTCCGCTTTGCCACGCGTGGGCGTGGGCGGGAACACTTTATGAATCGGACATATACACGAGTATGTGTTCCAAATTTTAAGTCTCTAACTTCCATAGCGCCGAAGTAAACTGCGGTCATTCAGACAGACAGACGGACAGCAAGACATTGCACAAAACCAAAATTTTACTTTCGTGAATGAGTATAACAATTCGTAATGGGAAAGGTATGCGAGAAATCCGTTATATTCATAATATGTGTAAGAGTCAGAACAACTAAATGCAAAATTTGATAAATGAAGCTTTTGTAGTCTACAATTAACCAGATTGATGCGATCGAGCAGACGGACGGGCAGAGAGACAGAGTGTTGCTATGTCTTTTTCTCAGTGCTACAAACACTGGCACAAAACGAATATAACCTAATGTACTTTCAATGGGTACATTGTATCAGAGAAATTAAACAACAACAAGTCGCGAAACTGGAAACGACAACAAAAAGAAGAAAAACAAGAATAGCAATAACAACGACAACGTCACAAATCATGACCCAATAACGTACACAAAACGGAAACGATTCCATTAGATTGAAACAGTTTGTTGTTGTTGTTGTTGTTGTTGCTGTTATTATTATTGGCATTTCATTCATTCACTCATTCATTGAATTTGACAAAGTCGCGAAGCGTCAGTTTCTATCTGCTTCCCCTGTTTTTCTTTTTGTCATTTTTTGCGTATTCCCCTTAGTCAAGGTGCTACAGTAACTCCCACTTTCACTCCCGCACGCACACACACACAGTCGCGTAGGATGATTGGCAGCCCTCGGTGGCGAAATCGTGTCAGGGTCGATTGAGCGAGAGCTAAGAAACCCCCGCCTAGGGCTCCCAATTGATAGAAAACGGGGCCAATGTCAAGTAAGTAAAACATAACTAATTATAATGGCACCTGTACACAATTCTCATGCTTTCACCTGTACACAAATCAGAACAGAAATCGTTAAGACACAATTCGCCTACGTATGTACATATATCCCACTGTTGGGAATACAGGGATATATCCCCGTTGAATGACGAGCAGCAGACATTGATTGACAGTTTTGCCAAAAGTCGGTGCTTATCAAAGAGAAAAGATGTATGACATATTAATAAACTGTCAATCTCTGACAGGTCATATATGACATAAATACATATACATATGCATAGTACATATAGTAGTGTGGGTGTGGCACCCTTAAAATAACTTTTTGCATTGGAAAAAGATTTTAACCCATTTATGTATGGGACGTTGTTAATCAAACAATTATCCCGAATTAGCTATAGACAAGTCTACAGATCTATAAACTAATTAAGTTGACTGATTTGATTTATTGGTCTACGAATTGATTGATTGACAATAATTGACTGATTGCCTAAATGATTGTTCGATCAAATGGTCAGAACAATTGACTGATCCAATAATTGACTCAATGGCCAAATGATTGACTTATTAATTGATTGCTTAACTGATTGACGTATTGATTTTCTATATAAGTCAATGATTGAAAAACTGACTGAATGATTGATGGACTGATTGATTGATTGGAAGATAAAGAAGACGGAAATCATAAGCTGAATTGATTAACCCATCTACTTTCTGGTTATTTAATTGTGTGATTGATACGCCGACTGATTTCAACGGTTTCTGATTGATTGATTGGTTGATTAACTGCCTGAGTCCCTGATGAACGAACTTTTTCTTTATTGACACATTGATTATTAAAATGGTAGATCAATTGGTCGACCGATCGAATAACTTCAAAACGGTTCGATAAGTTGATCAACTTTTTTATTAGCTGATTGATTAAACTCTTGTAAATGATTCATAGGTTTACTTTTCCACTTAAACTTACAGAAAATACATTTGAAAGAATCACTTTTTAAAGGCGAATAATTCAATGATTCTTGGTTAATGTATAGCTGGGAAATATGTATAATATGATGAAAAAATTAAATTAACTTAGCACAGATTTCAATACAAGCTATTATTTGTTTTAAAGGAATTATTTGTTTAATAGAATTTTTAAATAATGCAAATTGGCTTATACTGGTCCTATGATTTAATTATTATAATTAAAGTGTTAATTAATTCGTTCTTGGCAATAGCTTAACTTGGCTAGAAAACAAATTTAAAATTTAGAGAGAAAAGAGAAAACTTTCACAGTGGTGCTATCAGTTTATTTCACCCCAGTTCATATATAGATACATAGGATCTATGAAAATGTTTAGATGATTTG